AGGTGCCTTATCAACATTGTTCTCACCCTAAATCCAAAACACAGCACTGTACCAGCTACTAGGAAAAAAATTAACTCTATCCCAGCCAAGACCAGGACAGCGTTCAAAAAGTTTCTGACACTGATGGGAAACTGCCGGGTCCGAGGGTCTGGCACTGCTTGGTGAATGGGAATAGGAAGCCATGAATTTCAGCATTATATTATTATAAGGTAGAACTTGTATAAAGTGCCACTTTTCTCATACTACAGTAATATGACCTGAGCTTTGTACTCAGTGCCGATGCAGCTCATCTTGGTGCAAGTTCTCCTAAACCCAGCTTTAAGCTGCTCTTGTAAGCTCTTACCAGGTTGAACAGACCTGCCTAGGAAGCCTGGGGCTCATCCCAGCCAGCTAGCCTGTCTGGCACAGCGCAACTCTCCTGGCCTGCTCCAGGTTTTAAAAAACTCTCTTTTAAAGTTTTATTATTATTATTTTTAAGACATACTTTTAAATACATCTCCTATTCTGGCTTGGACAGACCTCCTCTGTCTGCCCAGGTCTTGCTGAAGGAGGGATGCTGAAAGGTCAGACTTGATGCCGTCGTGCCTCCCACAGGTGACACGGGTTGTACAGCCTCAGAAAGACATGGTTTCCAGGGCATGTTCCTGTTCACCCAGCTCTCATTTGACTCACAGGCATAAACGCAAGTGTCACGGCTGAGGTCAGCAGGGAAACCTCTCAAATTGCTGTGCAACTCAGGGTCACGTCATGAGCTTTCCTGCCTAGTCACATTGCTCCATGAGATGGATTTCCTCCTTCAGTGGATGGAGGTAGGAGGGAGCTTCCCTCACCCTGGGCACCTGCAGCAAAGCTGCGTGGTGGAGCTGATGCACGAGGGACTGTCACCGCTTGCTGTGGCCCCTCACCAGGCTGCATGGCCTCCTGCCATCCAACCATGTGCTGTTCCCAGGTGAGTGGCATCTGTTGAGTCCACCTCTCACTTCAAATGCTCAGATATCTCTCTGCCGACCCTTGGCAGCTACAGAAGCATTGCCTTCATGAGACCCTGGCTGCTCTTGGCAGCAGGCACTGAGCTGTAGTTCCCAGGGACATGGTGGCATACCCCACCAGCCTCTTTCTATATGTGACCTCTGGAAAGCACATCTGGACTAGCTTATAGTGCCTTGCAAAATCCAGCATGGGAATGCTAACAAGGAGACCTGCCTCCTGCAACTTTGGTCTCTCCCAACAGGATGTGGTGCTGGCACCTGAGGCCACGGGACTGAAAGCCACCAGACCTGAGGCCACAGGGAGGTGCTACGAAGAGCTAAAGCATGTACCAGGAGTGTGCAAGGAACAACCACAGCCTCTAGCTCACCTTGCTCATGTCCGGGCCAGACAACAAGGAACGTGACGAGTCCCACTGGGGATGCTAGGCATCTCTTAGCTTTTGGCCCTAAGTTGGCTGGGGTGTGTCCTGTGCAGGTGTGTGTCCTTCCCACCCCCGCCGCTGATACAGGACTGGGAGGAGGTGCCTGACCCGCCAGAGGGTCGTGCCGCCATCCAGAGACAGGCTGGAGAAATGGCCTGGCAGGGACCTCATGAAGTTCAACACAGGGAAGTGCAAAGTCCTGCACCGGGGTAGGAACGACCCCGTGCGCCAGTACGCGCTGGGGGCCACCCAGCTGGAAAACAGCTTGGCGGAAAATGCCCCGGAGGTGCTGGTGGACACCAAGTTGAACGTGAGCCAGCAACGTGCCTTTGCAGCAAAGAAGGCTAATGGTGTGCTGGGGTGCATTAGGGAGAGTGCTGCCAGCAGGTGGAGGAAGGTGATCCTTCCCCTCTGCTCAGCACTGGTGAGGCCACACCTGGAGTGCTGTGTCCAGTTCTGG